TTACCCCAGAACAAAACATCCTTATCGTAAATAATGTCCACAAATACATCGTTGACACTAAAAGATTCACTTAACATTCTTTACTTCTTGTGCTACTCTATCTATTGTTATATGTAGAGAGGAAAAGCTTTTTGTATATTACAATCCTCGTTAAATAAATAAATTAAACTAAACTACCATTGTGTATAACATTGATGAACAAGAATTTTTCATATTATTTTCCAAATTTTTATCCTGTTTATGTGATCGTTGTAGCGATTATTTATCAGTTCAAAAATATCGTCCGACATGGCCTTACGAATTAATAATATTAGCAAAAACAGTAAATAAATATCGTCGAAAGTATCGCAAAACTGGTTTTTTATATCATCTGAAACAATATTTATTTTGGAAAGAAGTTTTTTACGTAGAACGTGCCTTTATCAACAATCAAGACGTGCTAAACAATTAGCGTGGGTGGCACAAGAACAAAATATATGGAAATTTGCTAATCCCACTTTTCATACTTATTCACCAGCATTTCGAGGACTAACAACAGCTAATGGCAAAATTACGGATAGTAAAAGAATAGTCAAGGTGTTGGCTGATTTCTATGAGACACACTTTAAAGAACCTAAATTTGATTTAAATAATCCTAGTCATCGGCAGTCAATCGAGATAAAGGATCAATTAGATTATTGTCCAAATATTCCAGTACAGAGAATCACATATAAAGAAGTAGAAGATACATGGAAAAAACTTCAACCGAAAAAATCATTGGAAAGTGTGGATACATCGTCATTTCTATTGAAAAATCTTCCAAGAGAATATATGAGCATTATAACAGTATTATTTAACAAATGTGCTGAAGAAGGAACATTTTTTAATGCTAGTAAGGGTGCGAAAATTATATGTTTATCCAAAGACGGATTATACCCGGAAGAACACAGATTGCGACCAATATCATTGTTACCCAACATTGGTAAATGGATGGAAAGAATAATGCATCAGAGAATACTGAAATGGTGTGAACAAAATAATATATATGTTGATGAACAATCAGGATTTACGCCGGGACGACGATTACAAACGAGAATCTTATCATTAATTGAAGAATTGAGGCTTACAACGGCAGCCAATAATCGTCCTGCTTTAGTTATTTTCGTCGATTTTTTATCCGCATTTGATAAAATGTGGTTTCCATCCTTAATGAAAAATTTGATTATGCTTGATATGCCGCTTGATTTGGTCAAATGGATATATTCGGCATCATCCGGAAATCGCCGTCGCCGCGGATTCTTAAATGTTAAAGTGTAAAAGGATAAACGTGCATAACTGAGGGTGAAGTAGTGAGGATGAGGGTGGAGCACTTCTTCACCCACTTCACTCTCACTTCTCCACCCTCACCCTCACTCGCCGCGAGTTCGTATATGTTAAAGTGTTGACGCTAAAGTGTTAAAACTTTAACACTGAATCCGCGGCGACGGCGATTTCCGGATGTTATGAAGCAATCAATCATTTATTTGCTGATGATCTAGCGATGGTTTTACAAGGTTCATTAGACAAGAGATTTTCAGAAAACATTATTGAACTAGAAAACCTTGCAAATAAAATATTGAAACAACTCGAAAAATTTGCAGATGATAATATATTACCAGTCAACGTACTCAAAACTAAAGCTATGCTAGTACACAACGTAGTAAAAGTGAGATATCCAAAAATGTTATATAAAAATGTAGTAATTGAATTTGTCAAAATGTTTAAATATTTGGGCGTTATAATTTGTATGAAACTAGGTTGGGGAAATGTTATAAAAGATCGTCTGATGAAAATACGAAAAGTATACGCAGGTTTAAGAGTGATATCTAAAACAATACCAATAGCGGAAATAAAGATGAGAAGAATTGCATTTTTGGCATATGCATTACCTCAATTTATTTGGTTGTTCCCACTGTGGTTTTATTCCACTGAGAAACAACAGATCGAAATTGAAAATGTCTTTTGTACTGGATTAAGAATTATTTACAACTTGCAAGGATGGGATGATATCACAACATATGTTTTAACATGTGAATTTTCATTAAAAGATTTTTTATTTCGTTATTGGAAAAAATTCAATAAACATTTAAACGAATCAGCCAAGGCGCTACTTTATCAACAAACGTGGACTGCTTTTCTAATTGCTATTTGTCCCAACAAAACGTATTATCGTTCATGCGGTTTCAGAAGAAATTCGAAATTCCCTAATCGCTTAGCGGTACAGGCAAGACACTCACAAGTGGACTGGTTGGAATTTAGTGGTGTTCATCAACGGCAATATGCGTACTTCAAAAGAAATAATAAATTTTTACATTTATTCATGTATAAATATTTCATTCAAAACCCATGACTATGACTGTATCCTGTAAGAAATATGTATAGGCAATTACAAAGTATGCATGATATTTATTTATTTATTTTCCATATGTGTTGTATTTTCATTTGGCTAGGTATGAGAGTGGATATTTTTAGGAGTTTTAAAACTGTGTATGAATGATAACTCTAGTCAATTCTACAAAATCTCTTTTGACATTTTAAATGTAAATGTAAATGAATTTTACTAAATTGTATTCATTGTTAACCTTCTATGGAACAATAAAGTTAAATGTTCAGGAAAACTTAGAAATTTTCTAAGTGAATCTATCGTATATTTCATAGGAAAAGACATGCTTCAAGTTTTGAAACATTATATGTGACTCTTCGTATGCCTAATGGTAAAACTTGCTTCGTAGGTCTAGGTTACAGACCTGACTTGGTAGACTGTTTGGAGTTTACTAATCACCTATCTGAGACTTTAAACGAAATACAGATTAGTACAAAAAAGTATGACTCGGTGGTTTTTGTTGGTGACTTTAATAGTCATTGCAATAAATGGTGCCAAACTAAGCCTTCAACAACAGAAGGGGATATCTTTTTTGACTTTGCTATGACTGAGGGCTTAGCTCAGTTCGTAAATAAACCAACTCGTGAAAAGTCCCAGTCATGTCTTGACTTAGTTTTCAGTACTAACCAAAACTCTGTTACTGATGTTACAGTGGAAAGTCCACTTTGTTCAACTTGTGACCACTCTGTGGTTTCTTTTAATCTCTTTTCACACAAACAAAGTCACTATAAATACACCAGACATATTTTTGATTATAAAAACACAAACTGGGATGCATACCGTTTGGAGTTAAGCAAGACCGACTGGTCTCAATTAATAAACCAGCAACTAACTCTCGATGACCAAGTAAAAATTTGGTATGAAAACTTCCTAGCAATTTCTAATCGAATTATTGCAAACAAAACTATTATGATCTCCTCACGAGATGCTCCCTGGTTTACGGATAAATTAAGGGAATTATATATTAAAAAACAAAAATTCTTCCGTCGTCGTAAGCGCTCTGCGTGTGATGATTTGGCATATAAAACCATTGCTAAACGTTATGAAGAAGAGTGCTTCTTAGCGAAGAATAAGTACTATTCCCAAATTCATGAGAAAATAAATCATTCTTCGAAGAATTGGTGGTCAGTAGTTAAAAATGCTCTCAATAAACGAAAGCAGTCTTCTATTCCAAGCCTCATGAATCCTATGTCTGGAAATTTTTCATATTATCCTAGAGATAAAGCTAATTTATTAAATGCGTCTTTTTCAAAAATTTGTACTACAGACACTAACACTCGCCACGCTTTTCCAAAATTACCTGAACCTAAACTCGTTATGTCGCCTTTTCTTCTGTCGGATCTGGAAGTATATGAAGTCCTTTGTAAAATCAATTCTAAAAAAGCTGTCGCTCCAGGAATTACAGGCAGAATGTTACGTGAAGCTGCGCCAGTGATAGCTTCTTCACTTAAACTACTGTTCAACAATTCTTTATCTTCTGAGACTTTCCCTTCATCTTGGAAAATTGGTGTTATAAATCCATTACACAAGTCAGGGGATATCCACTTAGTTAATAATTATCGTCCAATCACCTTGTTGTCCGCTATATCCAAAGTATTTGAGCGTCTCGTC